CAGCAAGGATTTGTCGATCGAAGTTCGACTATGAGTGTCGATCGACTTGTGGTGAATAGTGTCGATTGACATCGGGTGAACAGTACCTCAATGAACAGTACCCGGATGATGAACAGTACTCGGGTGAACAGTAGCACAATGAACAGTAGCCGGATGGACAGTGTTCGGGTGAATAGTGTTTCTTGTAGATTGGTTGGCTCTATCGATCACTGCTGCTTGTAGCTTATCGATGGATTGATGGTGTGCCTTATCGAACGATGTCTGGTGTACGCTGTCGATCGATTCTGCTTGGAGGGTGTCATCGATACATCCCTCGTAGACTTACGGATCTTGCATGAACCAGCAGGCTCCTTCCTTGAAGGAACTAGAAATCCTCTCTTCATTGTCCCTGGTACTGAGATGTATGTACCTGAAAAAGAAGAAAAAATTTATCAGTATTTTAGAAAAGTAACAAAACCTAGACTAAATCTAACTGAACAAGATCTAATGGCGATCAAAGCTCCCCGGCAACGGCGCCAAATATGATATCACTCAAATTTCCCTAATGAGTGAATTACTCCCATCCAAAGAGGTTCAATTGTAGTATTTAGGGATCGAAGCCACATAGAGCTAAGAAACCTAATGGATCTAATAGTTATGTAATTAAGCTAGGCTAATAGGTAATAATGCAGTAAATAAATATAGTAAACTAGAAAGCAGTAAACAAGATGAACAAGGTAATTGTTCAGCTTGGCAAGGATTTGTTTGATGGAAGGTATGGTTGCTAGATCTAGGGTTTCTATTCAGGTAATCAGGATTATAATGCTATAGATGCCTAACAAGTTGCATGCATGATATTAAAGAGCTTCAACTCTTAGATAAGTATATTAGCTACCGCTATTGGACTCGTCCATTGATCTGACTGCCAACAATATCGACCGATGGTATGATCGCCATATCGGACGATATTTGTTGCCGTCGATCGATTACTCTATAGGAGTATCGATCGATATAGGTTCGATCGATATAGCTTCAGATAGAGTTAAAATAGTGCCCACCAAGATCATAGACCGGCTCTCACTTATCCCTAGAGGATCTTAGCTTTCAACTCTTAGATAAGTCTATTAGCTACCGCTATTGGACTCGTCCATTATACAGATAGAGTTGAAATAGTGCCACTCTTCAGTAAAACGGGCATAACTTCTGCTCTAACCGTTGGATTGACCTCAAACTGGTGGCATTGGAAAGCTAACTCAAATCTCTATCTTTTGTCTAAACATCAGCTAAATCTCATAATTGGAAGGTCTCCATCCAAATCTAAACATCTGACGCATCTGCGCAGTTCTGCACTTAAAGGCTCCAAAAGACACCAAAATCACCACTTTACTCCATAACGTACCTAAACCTGTAAATATTCTAAACAGACTCTATATTGTAGTAAATATACATAAAAATACCAATAGACCATGGCTAAAAATGGGTAAAATCCATGGTCGATCAATCACCGAAGGGAAATTGTACCGAAGATCTTTCTCAGGACCATACATGTGATGTCTCACCCCTAGAGAAGCGGCCCAAATCTTAGAAGAGCTCCACGAGGGAGAATGCGGATCTCATTCTAGCGGACAAAGACTAGTGCTCAGAGCCAGAAGAGCCGGCTATTACTGGCCCACGATGGCCAGCGACGCCCTCAGACAAGCCAGATCCTACGACCAGTGCCAAAAGCACGCGCCGATCTCCAACCTCCCTCCAGAGAATCTAAAGTCTCTAAGCTCCCCTTGGCCATTCCGAAAATGAGGCATGGACATCGTCAAAAATTCCCAACGGCGCCGGGTCAAAAGGTATTCTTCGCTGCAATAACCGACTACTTTACAAAATGGGTGGAAGCTGAGGCCCTAGCCACGATTACTACAGAGAAAATAAAGAAGTTATGGACAAACGTGATAACCCGCTTCGGCATGCCCCAGGAGATTGTCACAGACAACGGGCCCCAGTTCACGTGCCACGACTTCAGAGAATTCTGCCAAGAGTGGAACATAAAGCTCTCCTTCTCTGCACCACGACACCCAGAATCAAACGGCCAGGACGAATCTACAAACAAAACCGTGGTAAACATGGTTAAGAAACGCTTGGAGAAAGCCTACGGGCGCTGGGCGGAAGAGCTACACGGAGTGCTCTGGGCTTATCGGACTACTCCGAAAACAGCCACACAAGAGACTCCATTCTCACTGGTCTAAGGCATGAAATCCGTAATACCTACAGAGGTACACGTCAGGACGACTGTCTCCGGACCCATCTCCCAGGAGGAAAACAAGAATTGTTGACTCTAAGAATAGATCTACTCGACGAAAAAAGAGAGGCTGCTCGCCGAAGGAACATATCCTAAGAACAGAAAGTAGACAGGAACTACAACAAGAAAGTAAGGACCAGAACCTTCCAGCAAGGAGACTGGGTCCTGCGACGAGTCTGCGACCATACTAAAGACAAATCTGCAGGGAGGCTGGCCCCAGGAAGGCCCCTACAAAATAAGTGGAGTGCAAGGGGCAGGAGCCTACAAGCTGCAATAAGAAAAGGAAAGGTCCAACCTAACTGCAAGAACGCCTTGCACCTCAAGCTCTACCATTTCTAATAAGATCTCCGGATCGGGTTTTCTACAGATACCTAGCTATGTATATATTTTAAGTACACTGGTTTCCTATACTCCTATGTATGCTAAAAAACGTCTCCACACTAAGCCTATATAACATATTTTAGTTCAGACTAAAGGAGTCACAGAAATTCCACTAAACTTATATAGCTAGGCATCCCAGCCGCATGCAATCTTCCCGAGACCGGGCTTTGCATCTCTTACATGCTGTTATTGTTTGTTCAGAACTTGGACCCGCATTGACATCAACATCCATCATCACCCATAAATAACACATCTCCTTTGTAACTTTAACCTTCGGATTATCAAAGTTCTCAATGTAATTACAGTTCAGACCGGTGAGGTGTTCAAACTCTGTCAGTGAAAACCTTTTCGGTTTTGGACCGACGAGATACCAAAGCTCAAACTTCTTCCTGGTGTTAAGCTGGAAACAGAGCATAGAATGAACCAGCCTGTATTCCCATCCAAACTGAAGTTTCATGTAGAGCAGCCTTTACAAGAGGAATCAACTTCGAGTCATCAATATGATACGCAATGCTTTTAGTTTGATAGGCCTTTTCCTCTAAGGTAAATATTATCTTCAGAAATTCTGGTAAATCAATTTTTTGTCTGGAAAACAATGAAAACAAACAACTCAAACACAAACCAAACAGAAAAAATTACTATACTAATTTTATGTACTGGAAGACCTAGGAAGACCTACTGAAAGACTTTATGGAAATCTTCCGAAGTCTTCGAAGACTTAGGAAAACTTCCAGTAGGTCTTACGAGGTCTTCTAGTAGAACTCTAATAAGATCTACAGATCTTAAATTGCGTTAAGCCTACAGTTCTGAAGAGAAACCCTAATACATCCAACAGATACAAATCAAAAAAATGGATGAACTTACAGCAGTGAGAGAAGAAGCTGAGGTCCACAGCAGAGAAGTTACAATTGCCAAAGACACAGCGGTTATAGATATGCAAAACTTGACTGGAAAGAAGAAGACAGGCGACTACAACGTTTAGGGTTTAACTGTAGTGACAGCAAGGAGTTGATAGTGAAGACGAAAAACTTACCGGTGGCAGAATTAAACGACAATACAAATAGTTTAAGATCTGAAAAAAGGACGTGGTTAGTTTAATCTACTAAAGTACCCTGCGGCGGAGTTAAAAGACAATAAACGAGATTCGGAAAAAAAAAAACAAGATTACTGGCAGTGAAAACGACAGACAAACAAGTATTGCCGGAAATCATCTTTGAAATCGCCTCAGAGAGAAACGGGTAGGGTTCCGTGCTTTTGTCAACAAAAACTGAAAAATGTTATTTCTATGTCTGGTAAGTAATCTGGCTAAGTTAAATGTAAGTTGTTTAATTACAGTTATGCTAAAATTGAAGGTCTAAATTAATGTTCTTTTTTGTTTGGAAAATTTTCTGGACAATCTAACATAAAATACCCTAGAAAACTTTTCTACACCTAAAGTTTACTATTCATTTAGATTCTCCATACGTCTTCTAGTGCATTATTTATTAGAAGAAGTATATAGGTCAAATTTACTTTAAAAAAATAGTTAAGATTCTAAAACCTAACTCTAAACAATACTATAACATATGTTACTAAACCATTAACTAAAGAATATTGAGACTCAGTATACATTCACTCATATATGTTAAAAACAATTCTGTTTTATTAGATCTTAGCTTATATCATTGCAAATGTTTATAATTTTTATCACATGAAACTATTTTTATTAAATTTATTATTTATTCTTAAAATTTACTATCCGAGAGACTTCTAGTGTAATCTTCCTCGAAAAGACTTCTATAGAAGTTTTTTTCTCTCACTGAGTTATAATGATAAAGTCAATACATGTTTTTTTGTCATAAGGGGTTAGTTGTAGTTTCACTAGGTGTTTGAATTACTTTTATATTTGATAAAAATTGTGATATTTTTTTGCATTTTGAATCAAGTTTTTGAATCATTTTTAGAATATTCTCAAAGAAAATGTAAAATGTGTAGAAAATGTTTTTTTACAAGAATAGATCATTATAAAAGTCATATAATGTACATTCTATTTAGGGTAGAAATAATTCAAAATTTAAAATATACATTCCAAAAATAGTAAACTGAACTTTTAAATAGTAAATCAAATTTAAAAAAAAAATCCAGAAAAAAGTTTCGAACTAATCATATTAACTAGTATTCTCGCTTTTTATTTTTTTTAGTGTTAGAAAGTTCTAAAATTATTTATTTTGGATACTTTTTTTATTGATTTAAGGTTATTTTAAAAAGAAAATAACAAAATGTATAAAGACAAAATGTCAGATTTTTTTCCTATTTTATGAAGTATCCCACAAAATAATATGGAACAAAAAACACACAAAGAGATTGTCTGAAAAGATCTTTCTTTTATCTCTGTGTGAGATGTAACTCAAGTTCGTTATTTATACAATCTAAGTTTTTTTAAAACATGAATTCTTGCAACTCTAAACCGACATTTCCAGACTCCAATGTTCTCCCATAATACGAAAAACAGGAACTTAATACATCATGTAAAAAGGTCTAAGGTAAACGAAATTTGTTACATCATAGCAAATATTATTTCAATTCTCAACCTCGAGCAGAGTCTGGAGACTTGGGAGCGCTATACATGATGCCAAAACGCCACGTAAGAACCTGTGAGCTCTACCAGTAATCGCCACAAGAACATTTGCCATCACTGAAGTGATGGAAACGTTTGTTGTCTCTCACAATCAAAGTTCTACCAATGATTTTGGACATGATCTTGATAAAGTTGTGACAGTCATTACACACGCGGAGATTCTTGATGATTGTGAGGGACTTGCGAGGTGGGGTGCATATGATACCATAAGCAATCGCTAACCTCTCACTGTGGTAGAGTAGTGCCTGTTCTTTAGCCTCTTCATCAATATCATGCAGAACACAGCGAGTGTCTGGAACATAAACCGCTCCTTTCTTTGCAGCCATCTCCTTGGCTTCATCCTTGTAAAAAGTCCTATTCTGAAACTCAAGAATCCTACTCTTACTAGCAAGCATACTCGTTTCCCTGAATGATTTGGGCGGAGGGGTAGGAATCTTGTTGGTTACAGCCTTGGAAGGATCAAGATCAACCATCAACTCCTCTGCGTAATCCTCTAAATCGATATCTCCATGAAGCTTACCATAGTTCCTCATTGCTTCCCAGAAATCGGAAGTCGCTTCAAAAGGAAGGTCGCGGATATACTGCTGTGCCTCAACAAGATGCCCACAGTTTCCAAGAACATCCAAAACACCCAAGTAATGTTCTGTCCTGGGGCTAATCCCAAACTCGTTCTTCATCGAATCAAAATGCAAAAACGCTTCCTTTATCCCACCAACAGTAGCACAAGCCAAGAAGACAGTAATGAACGTATCCTCATTAGGTTTTAATCCTTGTTTCGTCATCTCCTCAAACAACTGTAAGGCATCATCTCCCATTCCGTTGTAACTATACACACGCATCATCACATGCCAAGAATCCATATCTTTGTCAGCCATGTGATCAAACACTCTCTTAGCATCAGTGACACTACCACACTCACCGAACATACTAATCACCACATTGTTCAGCTTCGGATCACTTCTAAAGATAGACCGCAGGAAATGATCGTGTACCTTCTTGGAATGCTCAAGAGATTTCAGATTGGCACAAGACTCGAACAGTAAAGAGAAACAGTCTTTGTCAGGCAGTGCTCCCTTATCAAGCAACTCAATAGCATCTTTGTATCTCCTGAGCTTGCACAAGCGCACTACTTCTTCAACAGTTGGGCTTATCTCATTGCTCTGCTGAACATTCTGATTCTGATAGTTGACCCGATTGTAACCAGCTCCACCGCGATGAGGCCTGTAACCACCGTGTTGAGAAGGATTCTGGAGATTCCTTTGATTAGGGTTATACCTCTGATTCTGCGGAGGTCTCTGCTCAGTGTTTGTTTGATTTTGGAAACGCTGAGAATCGAAACCCGGAGATGGATTCTGCCGTTGCGGTGGAGGATATGATGAGACGGAGTGAGGATTCCGGTCATAATCACTCGTGGCGGCGGATGTGCTCAGCCTTTTGCTCGAGGTTGAGTTCACGGCAAATGTTTCGGTACTGGAGGCGAATCGAGAGGATGGATGGGGGAGAGAAGAGCGTACCTGAAGCAGAGAACCACCTGTGACGATCTTCTGGGTACGCGCGCACCGAATCGCCATTAGAGAATACATCTCTGAGTAGAAATGATAAAAGGCGAAAACCTTGCGATAGCCAAAACCCTAGTTGATTGGGGACGAGTACTGATAACGCAAGAAAGAATATATGTTTTCACAATAATCCTTGAAGCATTAAACATTTGCATTATGTCACCTTTTTTTTTGAAAAATTCAGTTTAAATCCTTATCCAACACAAAAAACAATTCTAATCATGTGGCTCTCGGCAAGGGACAAAAATTCAGGATATTTCCACATTATAACTAAAAGACGTCGTTCACGCAGCAGGATGTCTATTATCGAGGATTCAGAGGGAAAGAGCTACAATCAGAGGACCAAATAGCGGGGCAAATCTCAGCTTATTTCGACAACATCTTCACCTCGGAGAACTCGATCAATTCTCTCACATCTACAAGGGAGATCGTCACTTCAGCAATAAACTCGGGACTGTCAGACGAAGCTAATGTAAAGTTCTGTGCCATCCCAGAGCAAGCAGAAATTAAACAAGTCTTGTTTCTCATACATCGGGTAAAGCACCGGACCCGGACAGGTTTTCGGCAAGCTTTTTCCCCTCAAATTGAGACACTGTTGAGGGAACTTTGATCATGGAAGTCCAGTCTTTCTTCAGAACGGGTCTCATGCCGCGTGTAACCAATGCCACTCACATCAGGCTGATATCTAAGATTTCTGGCGCAAAACTTGTATCCGACTACCGGCCAATAGCGCTATGTAACGTCTTATACAAAGTCATCACAAAGATTATGTCGCTCTGTCTAAAACCAACTCTCCTGGATAAAATCTTAGAGACGCAATCAGCTTTTGTACCCAGTCGTGCTATCTTCGACAACATACTTATTACTCATAAGATACTTCATTCTCTTAAGATATCTGAAGTTGTTGTGAATTGTTCTATGGCAGTCAAAACCGACATAAGTAAAGCCTATGATCGTTTAGAGTGGAACTTCATTGAGGCACTCCTACTACGGTTTGGTGTTGCTCCGATCTTTGTTAGCCTGATTATGCAATGTGTGACGTAAGTATCCTACTCATTCTTGGTCAACGACTCATTGCATAGCATGATCATACCATCTAGAGGAATCCGGCAAGGTGATATGTTTTCTCCATATATCTTCATACTTTGTGGGGAAGTACTCTCAGGGCTTTGTAAACGAGCACAACGAAGCAGACATGTCTCGAGGCTTAGAGTGGCTACTGATGTGCCTCGGGTTAATCATTTGTTATTCGCGGATGACACTATGTTTTTTCTCAACACTAATACCGAAAGCTGCTCTACACTCATCAGTATTCTTGATCAGTATTAGGTCTTCTCAGGCCAACTCATCAATGCCGCTAAATCTTCCATCACTTTTTGTGCAACCCCGCAGGTAATACGGGAACGTGTTTAACTACACCTCGGAATTGCACAAGAAAGAGGGTTAGGGAAGTATTTAGGGCTACTAGAACACTTGGGACGCAAGAAAAAGGACCTCTTCACGGGTATTGTAGACCGGATCTAGGTAAAAGGTGCCTCCTGGTCCTCGTGTTGTCTATCGAGCACATGGAAGCTGGTGATGTTGAAATCAGTCCTTACAGCAGTTCCATCTTACTCTATGACATGTTTCCTGCTCCCCGTCAGCCTTTTTAACCGAATTCAATCGACACTCACAAGGTTTTGGTGGGATTTATCACCGGAGAGAAAAAAGATGTGTTGGGTGGCTTGCGATAAACTCACACAACCAAAAGCGTTAGGAGGATTGGGTATTCGGGACATCCAAGCGTTTAACACAGCATTTCTAGCAAAACAATCATGGTGCATTGTTACCAAACCTTACTGATAGGAAATGGAGAAGAGACAAGGGTCTGGAAGGATCCTTGGTTGAGCTTTGATCATCCCGTTATTCCAACGGGTCCAGCTAAAGAAGTAGATCAAGACCTCTTCGTTTCAGATTTTCTATGTCGAGGCACTGCTGAATGGAATGTCCCTCGAATTATGAGTTTTCTGCCACACCTTCTCCCTGATATCCTTCGCCTCAAACCGAATGTAACAGGAGCGTCTGATTCCTACGCTTGGTTAGCAGGAAAATCTGGATATTTTGTGGCAGCTGCTTTACACCAGGGAGAGAATAGAGACACTCATGAAAGACAAACTTTATATAAGGCTATTTGGACTAGTAGAGTCTCACCTAAACTCCAACTATTCTTATGGAAGATATCTTAGGGGACCCTTCCGTTAGGAGAGAACTTAGCGAAGCAAGGCTTGCTCAACAATATCATGTCAACACTGTGGCGAGCTAGAAACAGCATACCATATTTTCCTGCACTGCAGTTTTACACAGCAAATTTGGGCCACAGAAAACTGGAAACAAGACTTCAACCCTCCGGATTGTGCTTCCTTCTCCTCAGCCTCTTTAGCATCATCACTCCTCGTCAACCTTCCACCTATAGGAGTCAGTGAAACCCTGTTTCCTTGGATTTGCTGGAGTATTTGGACAGCTGGAAACTACCTCATCTTGAAAACAGAGTTTTCCAACCTGCGGAAATACTCTCCAAAGCGATTCATAATGCACAAGAATGGAACCAGGCTCAGCTATCAACTTCATCAACGAAAAGGGAAAGCTTCAGCATGGCACATACATTCCCAACTCCGACCACAGGGATCACTTGTTTTACTGATGCAGCATGGATCTCTTCCTCTTCTAGAGCAGGAACTGGGTGGTATTTTTGTGATGTTGAGAACGTTAATATTTTACAGGGTGATCGAGTCTTTGAATGTATCTCCTCACCACTAATGGCTGAAGCATTAGCCATTCGAACAGCTCTACTCCATGCTCTTGAAGCTGGATTATCTAAAATTTTCATAAAATCAGATTGTCAAGCTCTTATTGCTGCTATCTCTGATGTCTTGCATATTTTCACTGTTTTATCCATTCATCCATATGCATTTTGATCATATAGTCTAGGATTTAGTCATTTCTAGGTTGCATTTTGCATACATGAGTTCTTATCAGGTATTGGAGTTCTTGGAGGTGATTGGATGCATTTGAGGTCCAAAAGAGAAGTTAGAAGTGATCATTGGACGAGTAGAGTTGGCAGCGACGTTCCAAAGCAGGTCCTTGAGGTCGCTCCAGTCCAGCCAGAGCGGTTCCTTGAGGTCGCTCCAGTCCAGCCAGAGCGGGTCCATGAGGTTGGTCCAGTCCTAGAGTGACGTCCAGCCAAAGCGACTTCCAAAGTCGCTCCAAGCCAGAACGACGTGCTCACAGTGAGGCACCTAGGTCGCTCGCCTTTTTATCAAATCTGGAAGCATAAATAGCCCCTGGAGCGACCTCCCGGAGTGACGTCCATAGGTCGCTCCCAGCCAGAGGGACCTCCCGGAGCGACGTCCATAGGTCGCTCCCAGCTAGAACGACCTCATGGAGCGACGTGGCAAGGTCACTCTGCATCATTTTCTTGGTCGAAACCTTATATTTTCTAGGGACCTTTTGGTCATTTGTTTCATGTTTTTACATTTTCTAAACCTAAGTTTAAGTACTTTCTGTAGCCTACCAGGAAGTAGTCTTGATTTTTGGGAGGAGAAAACACAAAAACCTCTTGGAAAAGTTCAAATTCTATGAATCATTCTTAATTGTTCTTGTGATTATGTTTAGTTTGATTGTATTATCTACTCATCTTACATGATTAAAATTGAATCTAGTATGGGTTTAAGAGGAATCATGAAGATTAGTGAGTAATCCACCCTTTGAATTCATGGGATAGGGAGATTAAGGGTGATTAAGCTAGAACTAGGATGTTTAGTGTAGATTTCTCTTATTCCTTTCTAGTAGAGTATTCTTAATGCACCTTTTGAGTTGGCCTCTCAAAGGTTGAGCTTAAGGCATTTCCCACCTCACAAGATGTTCGATGAAATGACTGAGCCAACTCTCCTAAGCTTTTAACATACTTTACCAAAGACATTTGTTGTTAAAGATGTTAAGATGGCTAATAGACTTGTTCTTAAAGATTACTTTTATAACATTCAACCGAAGACATTAGATTTTTTAGTTATGTTAGTAAATGAGCATTCATCTACACATAGAGCTTGCTTAGAGATGTGTCTAGGCTTAAGGTTGAAAGTTTTATTGATCATTTACCATCCTTAGTTCGAAGTTTGATCACCCAAGGTCTAATCCCTACTCCCATGAGTTCATCTTTCTCTTAATCAAGGAAGTTATTTTAAATATCGCTTTTCTTATTCTTAGTTATAGTTTAAAATCATCATTAATTTGATCGCACTTAGATTAAGTGAGTACTTGCATCCTTAGTGCTTTAAAATACCTTAGAATTGGTTCGACAATCTCTTATACTACAACATTTGTCTTAGGAGCCCTGAAAACTCCTAACTTCAAATTGGCGCCATTGAGATTTAGTCACTTGCTTGAGACTAAGTCATTTTCCTTTTTTTTTTTTGTTACTGATTCTTCATCTCCATTTCTCTTTGGCTTTCAGGTGTATGAACTTGAGGAGCAAAGGCAAGACAAACCTTGTTCCAAGAGTTACAGATATCAGAGCATTTGAAAGAGAGATAGCAAGACAGAGAAAACAAGCAGAGCAACATGCTCAACTACAGAGGTTGGATAAAGATATGGATGACCCACCACACGGAGTTAACAACAACGGCAACACCCACTAGGGCAGCCACCGCGTCCAGCTCGCCCCATCGGTACCTATGACCGCCCAAACCTTCATGGCAATAGGGTTGGAATTAGAGCACCAGCTGTGGAGGCTAACAACTTTGAGGTCAAACCAGGACTCCTCAATGTGATAGAGAACAACAAATATCATGGCTTGCCTGTAGAAGACCCATTTGATCACTTGGACAAGTTTGACAGCTACTGTGGGTTGTCAAAGAGCAATGGTGTGTCTGAAGAGCAATGGTGCATTCAAACTCAAGCTATTCCCTTTCTCTTTGGGGGATAAGGCACGTCAGTTGGAGAAGTCTCTACCCAGCGACTCTATCACCACCTAGGATGACTGCAAGAGAGCATTCTAGGAGAAATTCTTGTCTACTTCAAGAACTGCTAAGAT